CAGCGGGAGAGTCCGGTCCTTTACGGCCGCAGCGGGTGGCATCATCTTCTCCATTCAAGCGTCACATGGGTTTTCCCCGATATTGAAGTGGCTGCACTCCCCGCATTATACATATGGACATGACTTCAATAATTTTCAGTCCTGATTTGGCCAATGTATTTATCCTGTCCATCAGGAAAAGGTTCTCTCTGTTATCTTCCTCCTGGGGGGCTCCTGGGGCGCCAGCTGTGGCGTTTCTTCAGTGGGGCATTTACAAACTCCGGAAGGCCCTTTCAGATAGGGTCCGGAAGAGGGACGTCCTCCACGTAAAACCATTCCGAGGGCCAATCCTCAGATGTCTTCTTCAGGGTGCCGGATAGATATCCGATCCCGGCGATGCGCCATATTTCGGCTCCGCCCACTTGATATACCGACCCCTCCTGAGTACGGGTACGAGGCAGAATAGCCTCTTCCACAGCTCGAAATGAGCTTCGCAGCCCAGAAAAAGCTCGCAGAAGGCAACATAGCCTGCGATGTGCAGTATGGAGGCCAGGGTAAAGTTGTGCAGCTGGAGGCCGCAGAACTCCAGAAGCCCGCAGTGGAAAGGATGGATTGGAAATCCGAGCCCCCTCAACAAGTAGGGGACGAAGCACACCCGCTCTCCCTTGGATGGGTTTGGAGAGCTCTCTACTTGCTCCCCGCCATTATAGGTGGCTAGTCCAGCTCGGACGGGGACCATGTATGCAGGTGGGAGAAACCCTTGGTCTACAACTCTACTAATCGGCTGTGGGGAACAGAACATTTCTCCCAGTCGCCTGGCCTAGTGCTACGGGGGCGAGAGGAGGAACCGCGACGAGCGGCCATGATGGTGTGGATTTTTTCGGGCGCGATCTGATGAAAGCTCGCTGGGAGGAAGTGGTGTGATTTGGATCTGAGAATCCTTGCCTCTTTTGTAGAGGGTTTACTCGCATGGTTGGGGTGGCAAATGTAAAAATGCCTCGACCTCTCGCATTCGCTCGACACGTGGAAACAGCCATCATTAAAGCACTGAAGCCGAGGAGCGGCATTGATAAGAAGCCGAACACTGTTCATTACAACAATGCTCAGGAGGATTTGGAGAAGAACCCGCCTTGCAACGCCGAAGACAACCTACACGCCGGACTCATCGTCTTTGAAGCCTGGTTCGGGGGCTACTGAGGGAGTCCTGGATTAAGGGGTCCTCGGACAGCTGGACTATATACTTTGGCCGGACTGTTGGACTATGGAGATACAAGATTGAAGACTTCGTCCCGTGTCCGGATGGGACTCTCCTTTGCGTGGAAGGCAAGCTTGGATATTCGGATATGTAGATTTCCTTCTCTGTAACCGACTCTGTGTAACCCTAGCCCCCTTCGGTGTCTATATAAACCGGAGGGTTTAGTCCGTAGGACAACACCAATCATAATCATAGGCTAGCTTCTAGGGTTTAGCCTCTACGATCTCGTGGTAGATCAACTCGTGTAATACTCATATCATCAAGATCAATCAAGCAGGAAGTAGGGTATTACCTCCATCGAGAGGGCCCAAACCTGGGTAAAACATCATGTCCCCTGCCTCCTGTTACCATTAGCTTTAGATGCACAGTTCGAGACCCCCTACCCGAGATCCGCCGGTTTTGACACCGACAGTCACTACCACGTCTACATCAAGATGCGGTGGTATTTGAATAAATTGTAATGAGGTTGACTTCAGCTCGTTGAGCTTGGAAACACTAGTGTTGGTTTGTTCCAACACTTTTCTTTTTATTTGCTTTCATTTTTATTTTTATTTTATTTTGTTTTTATTTTTTCCATGATGGTAAAGGACGAAGGAGTGGTGGTGATGGAGGTGACCACGCGGCGGCGGCAACGCGCATGACTGCGCCCTGACAATGGTGGATCCTTCATTGGCTTCCTTCACGACCTTCATTCAAGGTTGCAATGGATGGAGATGAGGCTTGGTGTCGTTGTCAAAACCGGCAGGCCTCGGGTAGGGGGGGCCCGAGCTGTGAGATAGGATTGATGGGTAACAAGAGACAGAGGACACCAAGCTTTTACCCAGGTTCGGGCCCTCTTTAAGGTGGTAAGACCCTACGTCCTGCTCTTGCTTATATTATGGGTGTATCGAGGTACATAGTTGATCTACCTCAATATCGTGAGTTGTGGTCTAAACCCTAGGAGTATGATGATGATGATGATGATGATGATGATGATGATGATGATGATGATGATGAAAGAATGATCTCTACAGACTAAACCCTCCGGGTTAAATAGGCACGAGGGGTATCTAGGGTTACACATGGTCGGTTGCCATCTAGGGATTACATGCTGGATCTAACAAATATACTTGAAGTACACTCCAAGTCTTCGGCCGGGGCATATTAAAGGCCTCTGAAGTCTCTCCTCCTCGATGGGCTGGCGGTTCGGCCCATGTACTAGTCCGGCTAGGCTGGGAC